CATATAGGGTGCAACTGACTGTTGGAGAGAGATGGGGTGGGGGTGGAGAGTGAGGAAGCACCCCAGGAGGGCCGATGATGCCACAATCCCTTCTCCATTCTCCTTTACAGATTTTGGCACACATGTACACTTGGCACATTTTCCAAGTTGAAGCCCTGTCCAGGACTCAAACCATGCAGTCGGGCATGTGGGATCCAACTACTTTAACTACCAGGCCATTGGCTGGCCACCTCAAAGAGACTTTGTAAAGATGGCCTTGGGGCCAGCAGGTGGCATGGTGGTCAAGGCACTGGATTCCCACATGGTTGATCATGGTTCAAGTCCCGGACCTAGTGGCTTGAAACGCATGTCGGGCACATGTGTGTGTGAGCTCAAAATCCCAAGAGAAGAATGGAAGAGAAGGGACTGTGGTGTGACCATCCCCCGGGAGGGGTGATTTCTCACTTTCAGTCTCTCTGCTAAGCGTACGTGCCCTATAGCAAAAATCTCTTCAAAAAAAATGGCCTTAACTCAGAGCTAAAGGATGGATAGACTGCAGGACAAGGAAGGCATTCACAGCCTGATCCCACTTAGACCTAAACTTCAAGGATCCATTTAGGGCCTCTTCCATTAAAGCCCAGAGAGGTGATATGGATTGCCCAGACGCAGAGCAGGTCCGTGACAGGGCCGGTGCTGAGGAAGGGGTCTGGCTGAGGGGAGGTGTCTGTCCCTCACGTCTTCTTCAGGCCGTTGAACTCCTGGTAGAGAGCCTCATCGTTCCACTCCACGGTGCTGAGCTGGTGGCCGTTCATGCCGGCAAAGGCGTAGACGAGATGGGTGCACAGGCTGGGGTCCACATCCCTGGGCATGAAGCGAGCTGCCCCCTCTCTGTACTGGGCCCAGTTGGTGAAGTAGCAGACCAGTTTTGCAGCAGAACCTGGTCCATTGGGACAGAGAACAGAAATAGTTATCAGAGGGCTTCTGGGGACAGACACCAGGGCAGGCAGCACCCTTGGGTGTCTACCTGACACACCTGGAGGAATCAAGGGAGCTGAGAGTCAGACATGGGCTTGGCTTCCCTGTGAGGAGCACCTCTCAGCTAGGAGCACACTTCGGGAGGTCAGCCCTGGGCGCTCCTGTGAGTGGCAGGACCGTGTCACCATCCTCACGTCATGGATCAGGAACTCTCGAGCTTGGGACCTGCTCAGGCTGTACAGCTGCTGGGAGGGCAGAGCCAGGCACGGGGGCCCTTGTCCTGACTCCTTGGCATGCTTGGCAGTCACAGGCAGAGTGTGAGAGCCCAGGGCAGGGGTGCTATGAGAGCACAGAGGTGCGAGCAGGGGTCCTCAGGAAACACCCAAGAGGGGCTGACACTTCAGCCGAACGTGCAGTTCAGCTGGTGGATGAGGAGGTGAGAGCCTTCCTGGGAGAAGGCGTGGCGGGGTGTTGCGGGGATGAGGACATTCTCGGGGGGCTGAATTTTGGAGGAGAGGCCCTCCTGAAATCTGGCAAGAGCTTTTGGGATGGAGGAGTTACCACGGGAATGGGGACAGAGCCCAGGAGGGGGCTGAGAGATGCCACTTACCCCCCTGGGTCACCAACAGGATGGTCAGACCTGGAGCAACACAAAGGAGAGATGAGGTGACATCATTCTCACTTGCCCAGGGTCCCACCCACTGGTGGACACCCAGGAGGCGCCAGTGGCCAGGGAGGGCTGGCTTGACACAAAGCAAGCTTTCTCCTTCTTGAAGGGGCTCAGGAGGATGCTGCATCCATCTCTTCACCCAGGCCAGACAGCAGGGGCCCTTCCCAGCCTAGGCTGGTTCCAGAAGCTGATGGAGGGTTTTAAAGCCTCAGTGGAGAGTGATGTGAATTTCTAAGGATTGTGGGAAAACTACCGATCTGTGAGGTAGTCAAAGGGAAAGCATCTTTGGAGCAAGAAGAAAAGCTTGTCTTGGGCCTGGAAAGAACAGGGCAGGGGTGCTATGAGAGCACAGAGGTGCGAGCAGGGGTCCTCAGGAAACACCCAAGAGGGGCTGACACTTCAGCCGAACGTGCAGTTCAGCTGGTGGATGAGGAGGTGAGAGCCTTCCTGGGAGAAGGCGTGGCGGGGTGTTGCGGGGATGAGGACATTCTCGGGGGGCTGAATTTTGGAGGAGAGGCCCTCCTGAAATCTGGCAAGAGCTTTTGGGATGGAGGAGTTACCACGGGAATGGGGACAGAGCCCAGGAGGGGGCTGAGAGATGCCACTTACCCCCCTGGGTCACCAACAGGATGGTCAGACCTGGAGCAACACAAAGGAGAGATGAGGTGACATCATTCTCACTTGCCCAGGGTCCCACCCACTGGTGGACACCCAGGAGGCGCCAGTGGCCAGGGAGGGCTGGCTTGACACAAAGCAAGCTTTCTCCTTCTTGAAGGGGCTCAGGAGGATGCTGCATCCATCTCTTCACCCAGGCCAGACAGCAGGGGCCCTTCCCAGCCTAGGCTGGTTCCAGAAGCTGATGGAGGGTTTTAAGCCTCAGTGGAGAGTGATGTGAATTTCTAAGGAGTGTGGGAAAACTACCGATCTGTGAGGTAGTCAAAGGGAAAGCATCTTTGGAGCAAGAAGAAAAGCTTGTCTTGGGCCTGGAAAGAACCAGTCCGGAAGGCCCGGACTGGGGAAGTCCATGCCCTGGGAAAGCTGCGGGGCCTCTGCACGCTGCTCTGGGCCTTCCCACCTATTCCCGCTGTGCCGCCAGAGGCTGGCTGCTACCAACATCCGCAGAGACTGACGGTGACCTCGGCTTTTCCTGTTAACCTGATGAAGCCTGCATGAAAATCTCCAAGGACACCCACAGCCATGGCCACCAGGCTGCATTCGTGAAGGACGGCTAACCTGATTGGGGAAGGACCTCATGGCTGTGGATAAGGCCAAAATCGGGAACCTGGGAACCTGGGCAGGATAGAAAACCCCAGCGTAGGGGCTTCCAGGGCAGAAGGAGTCTGCAGTCTATTGAGAAAATCCTTCCCTTTCACACAAAGGCTCATGGATTAAGAACCCAGGAGGGCTTCACAGGAGGGGTAGTCAAGGGACTCATGCTGGGAGGCAGGGGGACAGATGGGATGCCCTCGCAGTCCTCCTGAGCCCTCCTGTTGCAGACAGTAGCAAGGAGCTGCTGCACAAGCACACCTCCACCTGCCCACGGCTCCCAAGGCCCAGCATCCCTCCTGACTATGCCCACTCACCTGCCCATGCCACGGACCATGACATGATGCCAGTTCCGTGGTACACTCTGGCTCTGTGCAAACCAACTGTCCAGATCCTGCTCCCCCTTATATGGCCGCCCCAACCCACTCCACTCAGGAGTGTTGAAATCAGGGGACAGAGAGAGGAGGAGGCTGGGGCAGCATGTCAAGTAGCATGGATTGGGCAAACCTGACACAATGGCCTTTAGCAATTCTTGCTTTTCTGGAACAATCACATGATATAAACTGGGCACTCAGTGTTGCCAAACTGGGAGGCAAAGGGAAGAAAGTGGGCGGTGTTTCTAAACTTTCCGCTGGACAGGCATGAGGCTGGTTTTCCTCTATGTGGGATGGCGAGGACAGTAGGCAGCTCCTAGCTCCACGATGCTCTGGAGGAGAAACAGCTCGGGCATCAGAGACTCCAGGCCCAGATCAGATCTCTTGCTTCTCCTCTGTCCTCTCTTTTCCCTGTTCTCTAAGACAATGGTGGATCAGCCTCTTGGTTAAGTCTGCACAGAGGAAGCTGAATCCCACATGGCTACCCAGAGTTTGAGTCCTGGACCCAGCAGCTAACACTGGGTTCATGTGTGTGTTCAGGATCCTGAGCAGGCAGAGAACTGGAGAAAAAGGGATTACGGCATGACCAGGCCCTGTGGGGAGTGTTCTCTCTCTTTCTCATGCACATATGTACCCTCTGGAATAAAAAGAGAAAAAACACTTTCCTAAATAAAAGAAAAGGGGGGGGGGAGCAGCCTGTGGCCTCGTGGTTAAGGCAGCCAGATCCTACATGGCTGAGCATATGGTTCGAGTCCTGGACCTGGCAGCCTAAAATACAAGCCAGACACATGCATGTGCACACATGTACGAAATTCTGAAGGGATGGAGAATTGCAGGAGAAGGGATTGCAGCACAACCAAGCCTCAATTGAGGGGTGCTTTTTCCTGCTCCCTCTGTTTCTCTCAGGCAAGTGCACTTGCCCTTTGGCAAAATTCTAAAATAATAAAAATGTAATAGAGTTACAAATGCAATTTATTTTTATGATAGCAATATTTCATTACTATCCATATGATAGTAATATTTTTATATCCATTGATTGACAAATGCATAATAATAAATAGTGACTGAGTTTAGTAATAGTTTTCTTTTTTTTTTTTTTCCGAGAGGTTTTTGCCAAGGGCATGTGTGTTTGCCAGAAAGAGAGAGACAGAGAGACAGAAAACGAGAAATCACTACCTGGGGGGATGGTCATGCTGCAATCCCTTCTCCTTTATTCTCCTCTCAGGATCTTGGGCACGCACACACACGTGCCCAGCATGAGTTTAAGCCACCGGGTCCGGGACTTGAACTGCAGTCGACTACATGGGAGTCCAGTGACATAGCCATTATGCCAACTGCTGGTTCCAAGTTTAGTAATACTTTTCAATAACTTTGTTTCTTTCTTTTTTACTTATCTATTTATTAAACAAAAAAATTGAGAGATTTTTGCTATAGGGCACATGTGCTCACTGGAGAAACAGAAAGACAGAAAGCAAGAAATACCCCATCGGGGGGGATGGCCACATCGCAATGGCTTCTCCTCAATCCGCCTCTTGGGAGGATGTACAGGGTGTGTTTCAAGCCTCCAGGTCTGGGACTCGAACCATAGTTAGCCTGTGGGAGTTCAGCAATGTATAATCTTTATGCCATCTGTTGACCCCCAATGGCTATGTTTCTTATGAGGGTCATGGGCACCATATTCCTTTCCTAGGGCTACGGAAACAAATGGTCACAACCCAGGTGGTTTAACATGACAGGGTTTACCCTCTTACCGTCTGGAGGCTGGAAGTCTGAAACCACGGTGGCTTCTGCAGGGCTATGCACCCTCCAAAGGCTTGTAGGGAGACTCCTTCCTTGCATCTCCCAGTTTCCCGGCCTGTGGCAGAGGAACTCCAGTCTCTGCCACCTCCATTCTCACGCAGCCTTCTTTCCTGTGTCTTCTCCTCATAAGAACACGCCAACCCAGAGTGATCTCTTCATTACATTTGCAAAGATGAGACCCCATTCTGAGATTCTGTGGGGGGGCCACCAGTTAACCCATCATAGGACCTGTATGGGTATCTGCTATCTTGTCTGCAGACAATGGTGCGTGCATGAACCAGCGTCCCTGGAGAAACTCTACAGCTTCTAGGGGGTCTGGCCCTTGGACTTGGGCTTCATGAATGTTCTGAACATCTGAAGGGGAAGATGGGGAAACAGCCAATTCTGGAGCCAGATCCCTGGTTTCGAATCCCAACTCTGCCATCTACTATCTGTGAAACCTCAAGTGGAGCCTTCAGCGTCTCTCAGCTCCAGCTCCCTCACCTGCAAAGGGAAGTCTTCAGAGGATTGTTGGGAAGGCAGCACACGTCAGCTGCTATTATCCCTAACAAAACCCCCCACCCTACACAATGGCATACCATTTCAATCATGCAAGTCTAAGAGACACTCTGACCATCTGCCGTACAGCCCTGTCCTACAGTCAACGACACTGTATTCTCCCGTACAGCCCTGTCCTACAGTCAACGACACTTCATTCTCTTCAAATTTGGTAAGATGGGGGAATCTCATGCTAAGTGTCCTTACCATAGTTAAATAATTTTTAAAATTAACATATCAGTGGGGGCCAGCAGATGGCATATGGGTTATATAACCGGACTCCCACGTGCTCAACCACAGTTCAAGTTCCAGACCAGAGGCTCAAAACTCACGCTGGGTACATGTGCATGCATGCTCAAGATCCTGGGAGGGGAATGGAGGAGAAGGAATTGCAGTGTGGCCATCCCCCCTAGGAGGTGATCTCTCACTTTCTCTCTCACTGTCTCTGTCTCTCTATCTCTCAGGTGATTGCACATGCCCTAAAGCAAAACCTCCTAAAAAAAATAACATACTGATCTGTTGCACACCTTCTAAGTAATAGGCACTGGCGAGCACTGGGGACTCTAAAATGAATTTGCAGTCCCGGTCCCTGGGGAGCTTAGAGCCTGCAGGGTTAAACTCTGCCTCTCCCTGGAGTCATTTCTCAATGCAAACCTCCCGGGAGGTGCAACCCTCTGGATTGCTCACATGTCAGCCTCTTCTCACTGGAAGAAAGAATTTTTGTCCCCAAAGTGGACCCTGACGTTTTTCTTCTCTTCCCCCAACTCCTTATCACTCAAGGTTTTAAACAGGGGACTTTAGTTTGGGGCCCGCTGGTCCCACTGAACTGGGTCCCACCTGGCCTATGGGGAACCAGCACAGAAAGGCTGCCCTGGGAAAGGCCCCTCATGGAGGGAGCTTCTTGGCCCAGGCTTTTGTCAACTCCCACTCAGGGGCTGTGCACAGGGTTCTATTTCTGGGTCTTCCACCCACTGCCTGCCTGCTGACTGAGTGACTCTAGGGAATCTGCTTCCTCTTCTGTGGGCTCCCAAGACCATCATGGGGTGTGTTGTCATGAGCTCTGAACCAGGCTGGGGGATCACGCCCTTGTATACTTGTTGATAGTGCTCACTCCGAAATCTACGTATTGGGGCTCTCCCCTTTCAGAGTTAGCATTGCCAGAAGAGTGAACTAGACTCTTACCTCTCTTATCAGAGGCTGACATAGAAGACCTGAAACTATAAAACTACTAGAAGAAAACATGCAGGGAAACGTTTCAGGACACAGGTGTGGGCAAAGATTTTTTTGGATAAGAACTCAACAACACAGCGAACAAAAGCAAACCCAACCCATGGTGCCAGGACGTACTAAACACTTCTGCACAAGAGAGGAAATGACCAGAAGAGTGACAAGAAAATCTGCAGGGTGCAAACAAACTCGCAAACTCCTTATTTAATGAAGCACTAGTATCCAGAAAATACAAGGAACTCAAACAATTCAACGGCAAAACATGAAACGAGAAAACAAACCATCTGATTTGAAAATAGGTGAGTGGGGCCAGGTGTGGAGGTTAGGCTGTCTAGATCCCACATGGCCGACATCGTGGTTGAAATCTTGGAACAGGTGGCTTGAAAATCATGCTGGGCACATACACAAGAGTGCCTCAAATCCCAAGAGAAGAGTGGAAGAGAAGGGACTAAAGCATAGCCATCCCCCCGGGGGTGATTTCTCACCCCACCCCTTCTTGGTGAGGGCACACACCTTATAGCAAAACCGAAAAACATTCTAAAAGGCATATGATCTGTATCAGAGTTTAGAGTAAGACAGGAGGCACCAACTCGAAAGAGAGAAAAATGTATTGAGCAAGAGCGCCCAGGAGTCTGAAGCCAGAGATGCTTCGGCCTACCTGTCAGGAAAGAGGGGGTCTTTTTATAAGGCAACTGATTAAGCTATCTGGGGAGATGTCACATTTTACACGTAGCAAATGTTTCGTGGTTTTCTTTAGTTTTAGGTATGAGACCCAGCACTTGTTCTGTGTCCTTGAACGCTGCTGTCTGGATCAGTGTGGCCTCACAGCAGCAGTGCCTAGAATGTGGGTCCCTGTGAGGCTGGGCCTGCAGAGGGCTGGCCTGGCATCCTTGGCAGGCCTAGAGCAACACCAGGTGGTGTTCAGAAGAACTTTGCCAAATGTGACCTTAAATCTGAATAGATACGTCTCAAAGACGACAGTCAGATGGCCACCGTGCGTATGACAGAATGGTCAGTGTCACTGACCAGCAGGGAACCCCAAATCCAAACCACGGTGAGGGATCATCTCACCCGTTAGAATGGCAATCACCAGGAAGACAAGAAACAAATGCTGGTGAAGCTTTGAGAAAGGGGAACTCTTCTACACTGTTGGTGAGAATGTCGAGTAGCACAGTCACTATGGAAAACAGTACGGAGTTTCCTTGGACAACCAAAAACATACCTACTATGTGATTCAACCATCCCACTACTGGGTGCATATTGAAAGGGAAGGAAATGGGCACACCGAAGAGAGCTGGTCTTGCCTGTTTATTACAGCACTATTCATAAGAGCCGAGACATGGGAACCAAGTGAGCTGTCCATCAGTGGAGACGCAGAGAAAGAAAATGAAGTTTATATATGCAGTGCAATACTATTCAGTCATGAAAAAGAATGGAATCTGTCATTTGCAGCGAGATGGGCAAGCCAGAGGA